GCTTACCTTTGAGTGGTGCTCTACCCTTCACAGCCAAAACAGGAAAATGAACTAGATGGAGGGGAATATCCTGTCAAACTGTTTTTATGCCTTTGATTTCTTGACCTTGTAAACTTAATGAACTTTAATAATGTCACCAAGGACAATTAAAACGCCAAACTCTGGGGTATGCAAGTCAGATCACAAGAACAACAGCAAAAAAGAACTAACTGTAGGAAGTGGCAACTCCCATTTCCCAAAATGCATCCTGAGATAGAGGAACAGATGCCATTCTGGATGGAGCTGTAAAGTCAGGTTGTGGCTCTGACGGCTTTCTATCAGAATTGTGAGGCTGGGAAGTGTTCCTGGGCACATGGCTTCTGAAGTCACATAATGATGGATGATGATGAAAGAAATGAAAGGAACTTTGAGCACAAGTGTGGACTCAGAGAGCCATAATGCCAAAGAGAAGTGGTTTCATTGTGACCCTGAAGGAGTGAAGCAGGAGCTGCTCAGTTGGTTGGCTGGCTGGGGTTGAGGAAATAGGCCTCTACTTACAGGGCAGAAAAGCAAGGATGAACCTCAGGACTAGACAGAAAGATTCTCTCTTCTTTTGCAACCAACATCAGAGTCACATGCTTTGGCAAAGGCTGACTTTAGAAATATTAATAGAAGTATACTAGGAAATGGGATTGAGAACAGCAATTAAAAGGCTATGGCAGCTGCTGGTAGTGATAGGAGTGGTAGTGGTGGGGAGGTGAGATGAGTGGTGGGGGGTTGGGAGCTGATGTGGGGGTGGTTGGGATGGTGGTGGTGGTTATGGAAGTGGTGATCATGGTGGTGGTGGTGGTAGCGGTGGTTATGGATGGAGATGGTGGTGGAGATGGCAGCGATGGTGGTGGTGGTGGTGGTGGTGATGGAGGTGGCAGTGGTAATGGTGGGGAGGTGAGATGGTGGTGGGGGTTCAGGGTGATGTGGGGGTGGTTGGGGTGGTGATAGTGGTGGATGGAGGTGGCGGTAGTTATAGAGATGGAGGTGGGGGTTGGGGTGACATGGGGGTGGTTGGCGTAGTGATAGCGGTGGTGGTGGTGGTGGAGGTGGTAGTGATGGAGATGGTGATGGAAATGGTCGTGATGGAGGTGGTGGTGGGGGTGATAGATCTGGCAGTGGTAATGGTGGAGGTGAGATGGGTGGTGGGGGTTGGGGGTGACTTGGGAGTGGCTAGGGTAGTGATAGTGGTGGTGGTGGTGGAGGTGGTAGTGATGGAGGTGGCAGTGGTGGTGGTGGTGTTGGAGATGGTAGAGATGGTGGTGGGGGTTGGGGTGATATGGAGGTGGTTGGGGTAGTGATGGTGGTGGTGGTGGTGGCGGTTATGGAGTTGGTGATGGAAATTGTAGTGATGGTGGGGGTGGGGAGAGTAGTGATGGAGATGGTAGTGGTGATGGTGTTGGTGGTGGTAGGCGCCTTTGATTAAACACTCCCCAAGGGCCAGCCACTATTAACATATCACCAACTATATGCCTTATTGGTATTAACATATCAACAATCTGCAGCCTCCTCTTAGAGATGAGGAAAGCAAAAGTCAGCTCATCCAAGGTCACGACGGTAGAAAGTGGTAGAGCTGGGGATTGTCATATTTACCACGACTGAGTTACAATGAGTCACAAAACCCACGTCATCCCCCAAAGACATTGATGCACATTCTGCATTTTGCCCCCACAGTGGTAGCTTCTGCACAGAAGGCGGCTTAACTGCGCACACTGTAGTCAGGGGGACAAACTGTGGGGTAGGGGTCAACACCAGCAGAGGAGGGAAGAAAGAAGCCCTGATTCTCCCAGAAGGAAGAAATTAAAAGTTACCTGAAGCCTTCAACTTCAAGACTGCCCTCGACCAGTTTTGCTACATGATCAGAGACTTATTTATAGCCATCCGAATCCTGACATGTGCAATTGAAAGGGGAGAATATTTTTAATGTCCAGGGTAAGGGAAGCCACCGGTAGCTATGAATTACAAATCCATTCCTCTCCTGACCCACGGATTCCATCTTCCCCTGCCCAATCACCTTAGGGCCTCCCTCTACCCCACCGACAACCCCCCCCCCCCGCCGCCCCCCCGCACAAAAACAACATCAACAGCTAACAAAAAAGCATTCACAATTACAAATACAAAGAAAACCAGCCGTTGGCAGGGAATAAGGCAAGGTTCTTGCTGCTTCTAGGACTGTAAGTCTGGATATTTGCTCTGCCCCTGTGTTCCTTCTTAGCAAAGCTACAACTTTGAGAGGACTGATTTTTTATTTACACAGAAGGATTGCTTGGCTCTGTCAAGATAAAAGTTTAAGTACCTGCCTTGCTGCTGGTTTGTTCTCCTCTCCTCTGTAAGAAGAGGAACAAGGAACTAGAGGGAAAAAAATTTTTTTTCCAACTTTGCAAACCAATCTATTCCTCCTCCCCTTTTGGTAAAGAAATATTTAAGTCATATGCATTCTTGGAGAGAATTTTCAAAAAACACTCAGCCCACAAGAATTCTGTTCATCCCACAAAATCTGCCTTGGTCCTGCGTGCATTTGCTAACACTGCCTCCTCCACTTTCAGCCCTTCAGCATTTTCTTCTTTTGCCTTTAATACCAGTAGGTTAGGACGGCACAGACATCTGCCCCTCTAGGAAACAACGCTCCACGCAGTGCTCTTTCCAAACACAGGCTCTCATGTGAAGTCCTTGTAAAAGGAATAGAACACACACAAAAAAAGGCGCATGTTCAGCTGAGCTTCATTCATTAAGGTCTCCAGCCAACTTCCTTTAGGGTACCTCGGTTTATCTATGATTTGGTGTTTTTTGTTTGTTTCATTTCACTTATTTATTATGGTTACTGTCTAGTGTTCTTTGATTTGTCTTGTTTAAATTATTAAAACAAACAGCATCCAGTGTTTATTACGACTTACTATCTATGTGGCATAGTTTCTGAAAATGAGATTAACTGTGGGACAGGATGTTGTCCCTTCCCAAGCAAGCTGGAGTAAAACTGCATAGTTCTTCCCAGAATCCAGGATTCCACCTCCTGCAGGTGACCACTTGGCTGCTGTGATGAGCCTGGAGGCCAAGGTGTCACCTGCAATTCAGACATAAAGTGTGGTGACTAACTGTCTCAATTCCAAGGGGTAAATGTTTTCTTAGTGCCGGGTCATTTCTATTCTTAACCTTACAGCATAATGTTGGGCTTACTCATGGCGTGAAATTCTGGTAAGTCCCACTATATCACAGAGGAGATGCTTTTTCTAACCGAGGGGGTGAAACGTGAGGAAGGAATCTTTCCTTTCTCAACCCAGCCAGGAAGGGGCAGATGTTAGGCCTAGTTTAGAAACTATTGTTGGGTCTTTACTTCAAATTCATTTTCTATGACAGTGGATAATTTGGCCCTGGCAAGGCAAAGTGAATTGGGTCACTCGATCTACAAGCATGGAAACACTCCAAAGACATTTTGCCGAGCCGGGTATGGTGGCTCATGCCTATAATCTCAGCACTTTAGGAGGCTGAGGTGGGCGGATCACCTAAGGTCAGGAGTTCGAGTCCAGCCTGGCCAACCAGGCAAAACCCCGTCTCTACTAAAATACAAACATTGCCTGGGCATGGTGGTGGGCGCTGGTAATCCCAGCTACTCAGGAGGCTGAGGCAGGAGAATCGCTTGAACCCAGGAGGCAGAGGTTGCAATGAGCCAAGATCCAGCCTGGGTGACAGAGTAAGACTCCATCTCAGAAAAAAAAAAAAAAAAGTTTTACTATTTTGAGGTATTTAAAAATAAAATCAGTTGCAATTTCCATAGTACATGAAATCCTCAGGTTTGTTCAGTCCTAGTACTGTAGGAAAAATATTTTGGTATCAGATTTTATTTTAATTTTGTTAAGAAAAGTGGGGAATTATTTTCATTGGTAATTTTAGTTTTTTTATTTTGCACTTAGGGACTGATATTTTCCTCCAAAACAAAAATGCAATTTGACTAAAATTATTATTATTAATTTTTGGAGAAAGAATCTTGCTCTGTCACCCAGGCTGGAGTGTAGTGACATGATCTTGGCTCTCTGCAACTTCCACCTCCCAGGTTCAAACAATTCTCATGCCTCAGTCTCCCAAGTAGCTGGGATTACAGGTGTGCACCACCACAACTAATTTTTATGTTTTTAGTAGAAACAGGGTTTCACCATGTTGGCCAGGCTTGTTGAACTCCTGGCCTCAAGTGATTCACCTGCCTCAGCGTCCCAAAGTGCTAGGATTACAGGCATGAGCAAACGTGTCGGCTGTAATTCAACTAAAATTAAATGCTGAATGCTGGGGGATTCAAAGATAAGAGGTTGTCCTTACTCTCATGGTTTTCAGTGATCAGCAGGAGAAACAGGCTCAAAACCACAAACAACTACCTACAATAGGAAAAAAAATGTATAATTCAAGCTTAAATTGATATGCATTGCAAGTCTGGCAATTAATTTGGCCTGGAGAAGAGAAGGCAGAGGAAACTAAAGAGAAGCAAGGCCACAGGAGCAGATTCTTAATAGATCTGCAGGATCGGCCAAGAAAGCATCTAATGGAGGAGGTTCCAAGTGCAGGGAACAGCACGTGCTCTGACGTTGACAATTCTCATCACGCAACTAGGGTGTCATCTCCAGGGTCACAGTAAAATGGAGGTAGGAAGGGGGAGAAGCCATGAAGAGAATGAGACCAGAAACAGAAATTCACAAGGTGTAACAGGTGCTACCTTTGTTGAGAAGGCAACAGTTGGGTACGTTCTTGACAAAATGCCTCTCACTGTTTATTGTTTGAATTTATTGGAGCAATGGCTAATATGTCTGACCCAGCATTTAAGCAAAGGGAAGAGTGATACCTGGTGTTTATACTTGGTGAGAGATATTTGATGAACACCTGGAGATGTTTATCATTTATTTCATGCACCTCACCATTGGAATTAAGCATAGAGTTACCCAAGCTTGCCATGGTCCTAAGATAAGCATTTTATTGTTGTTGTTCTCCAGGCTTGTTTGAGACAACAGGAATACAGACGAGACCCAAATGAGAAGAAACGAGATCAGTTTCGGGTGCAAGAGACAAGTTTTGAGAGATCCCGATTTTCTAGTGGGTCATCTTCCAAACAGGTATGAGAATTCTGGGAGATAGTCTCCTGCTGCTGCTGCTGCTGGTGTGTGTGTGTGTGTGTGTGTGTGTGTGTGTGTGTGTGTGTGTGTCTTAAGAAAAAGCTGACTCAAAAAGGAGATGTAGAATCCCAGGGGCAGGGCAAGGCAAGCTAGGGTCAGGAAGGGGCCCAGGGCTGGGAGCTCCCTTCCTGGACAGCACCTCTGTGGCTCCCAGCTCTGCAGTCTTCACACTTCACTATGGTTGGGCCTCACTCTTCTTTCCTGTAGAAAAAGGTCCTGACACAGGTGGTCTATGAGACACCATCCAGATGAGAAATGCTGCAACTCTGTAAGAGTTGGAGGCACTGGGCCTTCTCAAGCACAGCATCATCTCTGTGGCATATATATGGTCTAACTTGACGCATGGTTGGGCCTAGTTTTTATTTCTGATGAAGGAAGAGAGTAAAATATGGTAATAACTGTATCATGTAATAATTGGCAATTGTTTAAATACTTTTGCCTAGAATGATATAGCAATGTGGTAACAGAATATAACAATATGATGATAAAATATTCTTGTCTAGAATGATACAATATAGTAACAATATAGTAATAGTAATAATATGATGATGATGATTCGTAATAGTATCATGATCATAATAATTATGTGGTTACTATTATTTCAGTGCTTGCTACCTTCTAGGCACATGCTAAACACTTTATACATATTAGCTTATTTAATTCTCATAAATGTGTGTATCTACCATATCTCTATCTATCTATCTATCTATCTATCTATCTATCTACCTTTGCCCTGTTTTACAGATGAAAAAACTGAGCCTTAGAGAAGTTACAATACTTTACCTAAGGTTTCACAGCCAGTGTGTGGTAGAGATTCCATTCTAGGCAGTCTGACCCCAGAGAAGGTACTCTGAATTGCTAACCTGTATAATCATAGTTCATGTTTAAGATCTTCTCTAAGAATTGTACTTATCCTAGGTAAGACCTCAATACCACAAGCAGTATTCAACACTGATTGTTAGCATGGTGAATTGATTTAAGATGAATAATAGCCTTTTATGAATTCCTATTTAATATTCTATGCCTGACATATACTCTAAAGGAGGGACTCCCTCTTTCCTATCAGTGGCCTGGATCCTGAGGTAGATCCTGAATACATGATATCAATCAAGTTCTCGTTGGAATTTCTTTTTTAATCCAGCATGTTAACACTGCGGTTATTTAATGTTCAAAGGACACCTTTAAAACATCAGTGATTAATGTTTATAAATGAAGATGTATCCCCAGGAGAGAGCTATGCTCTCTATTAAGGAATATAAAATCACACAATAAAATATTTCACCTAGAATCTGAAGGTGAAAGAGACTATCTCACAATATTGCCAGCACCAGGAACACGTCACCTGGATCTTTTCTGGTTAGTCAAAGACTAAATATGCCTGCTGCTGATTAAATTTATGGAGTGAGATTAATCCAAAATTTAAATCTAGTTTGGCTAGAACAACACATTTTTAGCATTAAGATAAATTCTCATATTTTTACACTCAGAAATAAAATCAAGGACAGATAAGAAAACATAATTTAAGTCAAACGGTAGTATGTAGCAATCTTCCTGGACTGGAATTGCTAAACAAGTGGGCAGCTGGGTTCCTCTGCAGGGAACGTTCATGCAGAGGCTCACGTGCAGTCACAGCCATTTTATGTGCAATAGTCATGCATTTGGGATATTCGGGATTTGAAGTTGTATATTCCTTTTCACACTTGAGCTTATGCGACAAGCTGGTGTCAGATTCCTATAGTTTTCTTCTCTCTGCTATACAAATTATGCATTTTTTTTTCTGAAATGGAGTTTGGTTCTGTCTCCCAGGCTGGAGGCAGTGGCATGATCTTGGCTTACTGCAACCTCTGCCTCCTGGGCTCAAGCGATTCTCCTGCCTCAGTTTCCTGAGTAGCTGGAACTACAGGCGTGTGCCATCATGCCTGGCTAATTTTTTGTATTTTTAGTAAAAGACAGGGTTTCACCATGTTAGCCAGGATGGTCTCGATCTCCTGAACTCATGATTCACCCACCTCGGCCTCCCAAAGTGCTGGGATTACAGGTGTGAGCCACTGCACCTGGCCAAATTATGCATTCTTTAAACCATCATAGCAAAACACTCAGACTACTTCCGCAAAAGGCCATGGTTGTTTATATAAAAGTATGTGAAATAGCTTTATAATACAAATTACATGGATCTTATTTTCCAATAATTTTATTATTCACCCATACTCAACACAACATTAAAAAAAAAAAAACGTGGTAAGACGTAAAACCTGCGATTTTTTCTCTGAAAGATGAGGACAGGATATTTTATGTTTGCACTCTGACACTGTACCTCAGTATGTGAGAGAACAAGAAACACTGCTTACATAATCTCAATTTTCTCCAGATAATGATATCCCAAGGGTTTGAGCCATGATTGTACAAGCATCCTCAAGGCCCCATCTTCTCTACCAAGAAAAGTGACACAATCAAAATTTTCCACGGTGAAATTCGCCTCTGCTTTGCTCTCTGCGTTACAAATATTCTTTGGGGGATACTGGAGGATTTGCCTCTGGACATGAAAGCAGAGGAAGGGCAGGGTGAGAGGAAGTGTCGCTGAAGGCATCATTCCTCACAGCCATTCAGCTTGTGCTCTCATAGTGTCTATGCTGCCTGGCCCAGTCCTTCAAGTTGTGCTTGATATGAATGAAGCCAGAGATCTTTCATGAGACTCAAACCAGATCCAGGAAATCTTCAGCCCCCAGAATCATGGGTTGGTTTGGAGATTCCCCTCCCAGGTTTGAACCCCTACCCCAATTTTTATTAAAATTGCAGTTGTTTGGACACCAGACATGGTGGTTCACGCCTGTAATCCCAGCACATTGCGAGGCTGAGGCAGGCAGATCACCTGAGGCCTGGAGTTCGAGACCAGCCTGACCAACATGGAGAAACCCATCTCTACTAAAAAAAAAAAAATTAGCTGGGCCTGGCTAATAATCCCAGCTCCTCAGGCGGCTGAGGCAGGAGAATCACTTGAACCTGGGAGATGAAGGTTGCGGTGAGCTGGGGTCATGCCATTGCAATCCAGCCTGGGCAACAAGAGTGAAAAAAAATGCAGTTGTTTGCAAACCTTCAGAGTATATGTTGCCCACCCTGAAGGGATGGAGAACTTATTCAACCTCTTCCCACAGGGTCCACAACTCCAGGCAGGTCCCAGAGCTAGTCTCCCAGTGGAAGCTGTGAATAAGAAGGCTGGCATGTCACCAAAGAGAACCAAGGCCAGACAGATCCAATACCCTGAGCTCGGTATATTGAATGTTGCATCAGGCACTAGAGTTGCAAAAGATTCTCAGTCAATCAGAAAAGGGCAGGAGAATGATACAGCTCAGTGAGATGGTGTAAACCCAAAGCCTTCCTTCCTCCCTAGGTGGAAGTATCCCAAGTCTTTTCCTCCTAGAGACTGCAGCACCTGAAAAACTCGAAACAGTGTTTGCCTTTGATTTGTAAAGGCAGCTTCCTTCTCTGATTGAGTGGCTATTATGAAAGGGACTTGCTTAATCTGTGGAAATTTTTCCACTATTCAGTCACTTTGTGCATCTCACCACTACCAAATTTTGACATTTTCATTGCAATTTTCATCACTTGTTAATTCCTTAACCCAGACTCCATTTGTCACAATTCTGATGAGCTGGAACCAGCAAGGCATTTACCATCAAATAATGGCTTCCATGTCAAGGCATCCTTCCAGACGGCTGCCTCAAGGTGGGCAGATCCTCAAACACACAGTTAACCTGGTGGCTGCTTCATCCTGGCATAACCTCCTCACCACAACCAGTGGCTCTCACCGCTGGTTATGCAGCAGTTGGATTTCATCTAGGTCCAAGATGAAGCCATGCCCATCAAGCCTGTGCTGAGAGGTTCTTTAGACTGGTACTTCCTAAATATATTTACATTCGTGGCTTGGCATTGTAGAAAGCATTTACCAAGGGCCAGCTCTGCCCCTCGTTACAGCGTGAATTCAGGCAAACCACGTGCAAGCACTTCAGTTTCCCATCAAGAGATATTTACTATGCATATCTCGTGGGATCATGGTGGAAACGAGGGAGACGCATAATGACAGGCTGACGTTAGAGCACATTACACACTGCCTTGGTGTCCAAACATACTTGCAAGTGATGCTTAGACAGGTATTGGTGGAGGAGAAGGTTCTGAGGCTTCTAGGATCCCTCAGTCCAGTCCCAGGCCACATTTCTAAAAGCCAATCTCATCCAGCAACTTAACTTTAGACCTTTTCAGGGTTACATGCAACGCTGTGAACTGTTTTTTGGTTTTGTTTGTTTTGAGGCAGAGTCTCGCTCTGTCACCCAGACTAGAGTGGAGTGGTGTGATCTTGGTTCATTGCAATCTTCACCTCCCAGGTTCAAGCGATTCTCTTGCCTCAGCCTCCTGAGTAGCTGGGATTAAGGCAGGTGGATCACGAGTTGAGGAATTTAAGACCAGCCGGGCCAAGATGGTGAAACCCCATCTCTACTAAAAATACAAAAAATTAGCCGGGCATGGTGGCAGACACCTGTAATCCCAGATACTCAGGAGGCTGAGGCAGAGAATTGCTTGAACCCAGGAGGCAGAGGTTGCAGTGAGCTGAGATCACGCCACTGCACTCTAGCCTGGGCATCAGAGTGAGACTCTGTCTCAAAAAAAAAAAAAAAAAAGAATGGAACTGTTTAATCAGATTGGAATTTAACCGGGAAATAAATAGTGGCCTGCATAACCCATTAGAAAGTGGGTAATTTAATAGACCAAAAAGCAAAGCAGCTTCTGGATATAAGGAGAAAGCAACGCCCCTCCTTCCTGGGCACCCATGAGACAGCTGCTGGCCCAGCGGAGCTTGCTGTGATTGACAGAGGCACAGAAGGAATTTTGTCCTTGCGAACCTTCACAGAGAGGGGACAGGAGCCTTGATTTCCCCATAGAAGATG